AGTGTGAGGCGGCGGCGGACCACACCGCACCACAATCAGGAGTGTGAGGCGGCGGCGGGGCGCACCGCACCACAATCAGGAGTGTGAGGCGGCGGGGCACACCGCACCACAATCAGGAAGCAGAGAGCAAGGACTGCTGTGCCTGGCTCCCTCCTCCTTTGTTGACGGTCTAAGGCCCTGAGCCATGGAATGCTGCTGCCGGCGTTTAGGGTGTGTCTTCTCACACTAATTAAGCTAATTAGACAATCCTTCGAGATGTGCCCAGAGGTTTGTCTCCAAGGGGATCCTAGATCCTGTTACACTGAAAATCAGTATTAACCACCACACCCCCTACCCGACTCAGAGACAGCCTAAGAAGACTCCGGAGAAGAGGGAATTTCCAGTTTCAACGCTGCGTCCCTGAGGAGTTCTTACATAACGGACAGTTTTGTGCATTTGACCCAGGTCACCGGGAGGGAGCCCGACCCTTGGTGAGACCCAGACTGAAGATGAGCTTTTTCCAAGATGGTGTCAGAGGAGCAGACACGGGATTTATCTCGGGTGATATAGTGTTCTACAGCACAGGAGGGTGACTACAGGATTCATCAAAATGATTATATAAATAACTGAAAGACACGAGTTTGAAATTTACAGTAAATAAAGAGGAATAAAATGCTAGTTACTCCAGTTTGATCATTTACATCGTGTATTATCTCATTCACACTATAACCCATAAATGCATGTAATTACTGTGAATTCTGTAAAAACAGAGTTGCCTGGTGTTTTCAGCCTCTTATCACCTCTTCCTGCTCCCCTTCCTCCCCTTCCTCCTCTTCCTTATTCTTCCTCCTCTCCTTCCTCTTTTTTATTTTCTCCCCTTCCTCCTCTTTCTTTTTCTTCTGTCTCCTCCCTCCTTCTTCTCCCTCCCCCTTCCTTCTTATGTATTTGAGACAAGGTAGCCCAACTTCTTGGGAGGCTTAGGCAGGAAGACACAAGTTCAAGGTCTGTCTGGGTTATAGAGTGATTTCACGACAAGCCTGAGCAACTTATCGAGACCCTGTCTAAAGATAAGTAGTAAAAAGGAGGCTGGAAATGGTACTTGGGGATAAGCCTCTTGCCTGGCTTTCATGAGACCCCAGGTTAGACCCACAGCCCCCTCCTTGTCACCTTACTGAGGGTCACTAAGGTGTACCGTAGTGTTCTCAGACTTTTTTTTTTTGAGAGACAGGGTCTCATGTAGCTAGGCTGGCCTTGAACTCTGTGTAGATGAAGGTGACCTCGAACTTCTGATCCTCTTGCACTCGCTTTTCCAGTGCCAGGGCTACAGATACAGTTTACCATGGCCTGCTTGTGTAGTATGGAAGACTGAAGCCAGGGCTTTGTGTGCCAGGCAAGCTTTCTACCAATCAAGTTACATCCCCAGCCCTTGGGTTATTCTTTTGAGACAGAGCTTGCTATACAGTTCAGGTTTATGATCTTCCTGCCTCAGTCTCCCAAGGGCTGGGATTACAGGAGTGCACCAAAATACCCATCTCCTTGAGTTCTGTACACAACTGAAACAGAGAAGAATTGGTTTATTTCTAGCCAGGGGATGGGTGAAGTATCTCTTGGAAACTATCAAAAGAAAGTGAACAAAGCCAACTCCATGATGGTCCATCCTGCTGCAGCCCAAGTCTGTCTTCTTGAGTCCTGCAGACTTCCAGACACTTTTCCATTCCCTGCGTTAGATGATTTCCCACACAGACAGGAAAAGGTACTGTGACCCAATGCAAGGCTCTTTCTAATCTATGATTTATTGATGGTAGAAGTGAAAATTTCATTAAAACAGACTGCTGTTTCTCATTCGTTTGTCACATTTTAAATTTATATTTTAAAACATTAATAAAACCAACAACATTAATTATTTTCTGAAATGTCAAATGAATTTAAGATGTGGCGATGTTAGTCTGTGGCTTCATCTCATAAGAGGATGGAACTGTTTCAAAAAGCCATTTCCTGTCTATATAGAGACCTCTTCTTTGCCTGAAACTCACCATCAGCTAAACTGTGTCTCCTCTCCTCTCCTCCAGGTCCTCCGTCCTCTCTTCTCCTTCTTTTTCTTCTTTCTCCTCCTCTCCATCTTCCCTTTTCTGCGTCCTCCTCTGTTTTCTCCTCCTCCTTATTATTTGAGACAGGCTCTCAGGTAGCTCAGGCAGGGTTTGAACCTGCTGTAGTCGAGGCTGCTTTTGAATGCTTAATTACCTTTCTGTACCTCCTGGCTGTTGAGATTATGGATATGTACAGTCATATCCAGCTTCTCCAGAGATTTAATTAGTCACTCCTGTTTTCTTTTTCCTGAGATATCACTCAGCACCACCTTGAAGGGTTCTATCTTAAGGCTGTAGTCTTAGCTCTGTTTGTAAAATCTGCATTCAATGTAGCTCTCTCACTCTCCAACCCCAAACAGGACCCACTGCTGTTGGTGAGATGGAGACCATGCACAGAGTGTCCTCAAATAAGATCTGCTTACTGTATCCTCAGGGCATCTGTTGTCTCAACCTGGTCCCACTTGGTGGAGCATCTATCCAGGACTCATGGCTTCTTACCAGCCTCTCCCCAGCCTCTCCTCCAATCCTGCCACTCCACAGCTCCTTCCAGAGAGGATGACCCACGACCTGCAAATCTGCCCTGGGGTGCAGGTTCAGATTGGTGAAGGTGCTCGAATGCAGTCTTCCTATGGTAATTGATTCTGGTTGAAAACTAGACTGATTCTGAAATCAACTAATAGATAGACCCCTGGGCATGTCTATGGGGGCATTCCCAGAGAATATGTAGGAAAGAAGACCCTTTCCTAGGGTGTGATGAACCTTCTTTTGGCCCAGATAGAAAGAGGTCCCAGTTTGAAAAACAGTGGCCTTTGCCTGCCTGCCTTCCCCTTTTGCTAGTGAGTGCATCTGTTTTATTGTTGTTGCTGCTGCTGTTGCTATCCTTGCTAAGGAACTTCAGCTTCTTCAGCCTTCCAATGTGGATTGAAGACAAGAAGCTCCCCAGGAAACACCCAGGCATTCAGCATCTGATTGGGGCTACTGAGGCATCCAGCCTCATGGACTGAGCAGTTACCAGGTTCTTAGCCTCTTCAGTGTGCAGACAGCCATTGTTAGGCTACCCAGCCCCTATCATGTAAGCCAATCTAATAGATTCCCCTTGCAATATAAATTTATTCTATGTGTTCTCCTTCTTTAGAGAACCCCAAATAATATATCCCCCAAGGGATCTCAAACATTTATTTGCCACCATGCACAATGGAGACTTTGTTCACATATAGGATGTGTTCCTGTGATATTCAGATTGTAACAGAAAAGCCAAACTGAAAAAGAATGGAAGAGACCATGAACAATGCAGCTCATGAATATGATATTGTAGTAAAAGAATCTGCTTGTTAATCCAATCATCAAGTTATTTGATAAATGTTTACAGTGCTCTTCTTTATAAACCAGGTATTAAGCTGGGAGCTGGGGATACACGATGAGCTAGTTTTAAAAAAGCAAAAGCATGTATGTTAATAAATTATATAATTCAAATATAGCCTCAATTCTTGCACTTTAATAAAATTGTGTATGTTTATACAACAACACTTGTGAAAACAGTACAATACACACACACACATACACACACATATTTTTTGAGATGGTCTCCTGTAGCTCAGGGTGGTCTCAAACTTAGGACACAACCAAAGATGACCTTGAAATCTGGATCCTCCTGAGTGCTATTCTTATAAGCATATTCTACACACCTAGTTTATGAGGTGGTATGGCTCAAATCAAGAGCTCCACGAGTACTAGATAAGCACTGTAAACACCTAGGCTGATACATGTATGAGTACTGTGCATGTACACACACACACACACACACACACACACACACACACACACACACACACTGCCTATGTTAATCCACTTGTGTGATTCCAATATCCTCAAGTGCAGCGGGGTACACAGTGACACCCCTCTCTCCCACTGGCCGTCCTTGCTCACTGGGTTCCCCTGCAGAGTCACAGCACAGCCCTTCAGGCTTCCCTTCTGTGTCGGCTGATCTGGGTTATCACTTGACACATCAGGGAAGAGTGTGTGGAGGCACCTCGGTGGAAGAGGTGCCTTGAGAGGACTGGCCTGTGGATGTATCTGTGGGCCATTTTTGAGATGGATGATTGATGCCGGAAGGCCCAGCCCACTGTGGGTGGTGCCACCCTTAGGCATGTGGTCCTGGGTTGTATAAGAAAGCAGGTTGAGCATGAGAGATAACAAGCCAGTAAGCAGAGTTCCTCCATGGGTTCTGCCTCAGCTCCTGCTTGAGTTCTTGCCCTGGCTATCTTGGAGATGGACCTGTAATCAAAAACGGAACCTTTCTAAAGTTGTTTATCACAACAACAAACAGCAAACGAAAACATCTTCAGAGCAACTGCTTTACACACCCTCCCGTCTCTCTGGCACTTTGCTTGGCTTTCCTTCTCTTCCTTCTTCCCTTTCTCTCCCCCTCTCTCTATCTCTTTTTTTAACCCCCAACTCCCAACAGAAATAGGAACTTAAGCCCTCTTTTTATCCTTAGCCTGCCTTGGTGATTGTCCCGTAATAGTGCACGGAGACTTTCTTTTCTATTTTTGTAGCTGCTGTGGAATAGAGCTTTGACATCTGTGGTCAATGACTAGCAGGAAACCAACACAGCAGAACCACTCTGTAAGGCTCTGTGGTCCTGGAAAGAACTTCCCAACGTTGAATAACAAGAAAGAAACAGTAGAGTCTCACTGGGAATGATGTCAGTGTCTGGTGCCAAGCAGTCTTCTCTGTGTGGGATCTGTGTCTATATGGGAAGGTGTTCATGAAAATATCAGCCTCAGTTACATTCAGGTGTCATTTATTATGATGCTGATTTTATATTTGGAGGAAAAAACGGAAACACACAGTTCTTACAGCCAGAGTGAAGAAAGTCCCCGGTGATCATCCCTTTGCTCTTCCCTTAACTACCGGCTGGAAATGGTGACCCAGACCATGAACAGTGATGATATCCATGCCCCAGCTCTAGGTCCACATCCTTCTTAGTCCTCATGTCCTTAGCTGAGTGCCCACACATCATATGTGCTTAAGATGTGGCATCAGACAAGAAGGAAAGCATGTAAGGTGAAGGAACAAGAGAGGCTTTGCCAGTGGGACCTGACGGTCCATGTGAGGGTGACATTCTCCAGATTTCACTCCTGTCACCAATTTTACTAACAGATTCTCCACTATTTTTTCCATTGTATGGTATGACCCCTGCACCTGAGATAAGAATATGGAGCTCCTTTATCCAGGTCAGTGTTCCCTGAGCAGAGGACAAGACTTGGATAAGTCTGTCTGTCTGTCTCCCATCCCACAGACACACACAGACACATAGACACCCCCAACACCCCCACATGCGTGAATGCACATACTCATTACGTAAAGTTCTTTCAGAACACTTGGTCCAAGGTTAAGAAAAATAATAAAAATGAGCAGTGGCTTACTACCCATTTTGATTCCCTCATATTTTTGCATCTATTTTATGTCATCCATTTATTTTTGAGAAATGGTCGTACTATGTAGCCCAGCTTGACTTTGAACCTACTCCTATGTAGCCCAGGCTGGCCTTGAACTCGTGACCCTCCTGTTTAGGCCTTTCCAG